GGCCCTCACTCCACTGCTGAGCCCATCTGGGATCTTGCCCTGACACACCCTGGACCAATCCAGCCTTCCTCCAGGACTGTGAAACAAGCAAGCCCAGTTTTCTGACTGCCAATAGGTACCCAACTTTGCATCAGCTGAGTCCCTTGCTTTACCAAAGGCCTAGCTACAAGGACTGATTGGGTGGGCGAGGAGATGGTTACTTAACTGGTTGCTGGTTTGTGTCCCAACAGTTGCGGATGTTTGACACAAATGGAGACGGGAAGCTGTGCCTATCAGAGATGGCCCGGTAAGAGCACCTTTACATTGTTGGCTCCTCAGGCTTCCTAGTCTTCCCCCAGTAACAACCAACCAAAGTTATGGAATCCCCCAACCCAGCCCGTCTCCTACCTGCACAATTTACTTCCCCATCCAGGGGCAGCCAAGTATCCTCAGAACTTGTTCTATAGGCTGCGCAGGAAGTCTGCCTCAGGAGCATTCCTAGGTGAAGGACATCAAACCCTGTGCTGTTACAGCCTGGCTCTTGCTTCTTACAACAGTGCATCTCCATGGGTTTCACTGGTGTTACTTCTGATTTATACTTACATGAGAACAGAGTCAGTCTCCTTAAGCAGGTTAGAGGCCTATCTTTACAGAGCTCCCAATAACTCACCTGACGCATAAATCCATACTAGAGCAGATGGGGCTGATCGCTACTGAGCAGCAAACCTGCAGTACTCTGAGAAAGATACTCTCATGGTCAGTGTTGCACAGGAAAATGAAGTCCCCTGTCTTGAAAAAGTTGGAGATTTCAGAAATTATTCCTGTCTCCAATTGAAGCAAAAAGTTAAGGTCCCAAACTTTGCAAATGAAAAAAATATATAACTTGGTGTAACTGAAATGTTCCAGCTATTTTACTCTCCTTAACTTAATTGTCAAAATGATAAGGCATTTTGAACCAGAAAACTGCAATCATTCATGTCCAAAAGCATCAAATTGAGGCATTATGGCAGTTTAAAACCTTTTTAAAAAAACTTGAGTCAAGAAGTTAATCACAAGTGACTTTCTCCTGTTGGCTACAAAGGACCAGCTCTCAGGATCATCATAAATTCTAATTTATTAGACAGGATGTGAAGTTGCCAATAAAATCATAAATGCAAACTTTGAGTTATGAGGGGTACTGGCCACCTTAACGCACACTCACACACACTTACACACACACACACACACACACACACACACACAATTGCTGCAATTGGAGTGTAGCACCAATGTTGGTTTATACCTATTCGGGACACTGGTGCTGGAGTCTGCTGTCGATGGTCAGCTTCCTCCAGGGCTATGTCTTCTCCAGAATGGGTCGCCTGCTTGTCCTGCTGTCTCAGTAGGTCGGGTGCTGAATGAAGTGGCGCCACTGAGGGTCACGCTTCACTGACTTTTATCCCTTTTATCCCTTCTCTCTGACAAACTTGTGTGATCCCCCAGCATCATATTGACTGTCCAATCTGGAGGTCGCTATCCCACATGGGTATTGAGTAGTGCATGACAGCTGTTAGTCACTGGGGGTTTCCCCCTCCTTCCCCCCTGCCCCTCCCCCCCATGGTGCAGTTTTGGGAGCCCACCCTTGACTTGATTAACTCAATGGCTGTGTCATTGTAGGTTTTAGCTTAAAATGGCTTGTACAGTACACTTCTGTAATGGTAAGTTCCTCTGGCTAGGCTATTGTCAATTAACAGCCAGAGGCTCTTGCTTTGTCATTCAGTTATCTACTGATTCATGCATACTTGCATTTACTCAGGGGGACCAGCCCAATTCAGCAATACAGTTCCAGTGATTACAATTCCAATGCATTCTTATAATAATAATTTTAGTATTACAAGGTGTGACTTACTTGAAAGAATGCATTTGTTAAAAGGTTTAAAACATAAAATACAGAATGCCGGGGTAAAGATGAGACAGATGAAATATAAAAATGCAGTGTGAGAAATATATAAAAATGCAATGTGAGGTAGTGAGGATCAAAAGGCCACTGAGGACAGTGAGTTAGGTTAGATGCAGTCATGTAGACTGATTTAGCATAAACTTTAGACCAATACGGGAAGTTTGCTTTGGGATATAGGTCTTAATCAAAGGGGGAATGTGCTCACCAGGATATATTTACAGTCATACTTTCAATGCACCTTGGCTTTTCTTGTCTTTTACAGGCTTTGCTTTGAAGTGGATATTTAATTTTTTTTGTTTTCTTTAATGACACTTAGCTCAATTGATATGTAGATGTAGTTTGTAAGTTGCTTCTACAGAAAAAAAATTCAGCTTCCTGGCTTGCTCTGAGCCTTGCCACACCCATGCAATGAGTATGCTAGGTCTCTGTCAATACTTAGAAGGAAAAAGAAATGCACAAAATGGGGGGTGGAGGGGAGGGCAGGGGGGCTGCAGGCAAGAAGGAGTTTCTTGTTATACTCCTGTACAAAGGCTTTGGCTTTGGTCAGCTGGCCATCTTTGATGAAAAAAGATGGCCCTGTAGAATTCCCAGCCAGCTCTGCTACTGACTCCCTTTCTCTTGTGAGTCCCTTTTCTCAGCTCCCCTGACTTACACTCTGGCAATCTCTTTTCAGACTTTTGCCTGTGCAAGAAAACTTCCTACTTAAATTTCAGGTAAAAAGAAAAGAGAAACCTTTGTATTTCCTTTTCGTTCTGTTCTCTTCATCCCCGCCCCACCCCTGGTGTCATGGCTCATATCTGTTTCTCTTGTATTTGTCCAGGGAATGAAGCTGGCCTCTGAGGAGTTCAATGCTATCTTTACCTTTTATGACAAGGTAAAATGCTTGCCAGGAGTGGGGAAAAGGCTTGAGCACAAAGGGATCTCAAACCTCTGAGCTTGGTACAGAAGGAACAACTCCTTTTAGCAGATCATCTCCCTGGTTCTCCCTAGATTGTCATCACTAGGAAGGGCAGGCATTCAGGAATCTCTCCCATTTACCATTGTAAATACTAGGACAGACTCTATCAGCTACAGTGGGAAGGCTAGATCTGTGCTGGTATAAACAAGCATAGGTCCACAGAGTTGCAGAGTACTTATGCCACCAAGGTCAGCTGGCAATCTGCCCCAGAGCAGCTCTGAACATGGAAGGTACATAATTAAATATGATTTTGGAGGGAAGCAAACACTGGAATCCAGGGACCTGAACATAGGTGGAAGCAAGGACTTAAGGGCTGAACGGAAGCCTAATACTAAAGGAAGAGTGAACACCCCTGCTTCCCTGGCCTGCTCCTACTGTTGGCCTGAAGGCTAAGTGGAGGTGACAGTGCTGACTGTACTGAAGAGTGCCTAAAACTCAGTGTATGGGGCTGGATTCTCCTTTCACTACCATTGTGGCACCACTGTTTGCAGAGGAGTCACTTCAAGAACATGGCTGGATCCAAAGCCTAATTAAGTTACTGGGAGTTTTTCCAGTGTTTTGGTTTGCTGTGGTTCAGGACCTTACATGTCTGTAACTGGCAACACTATTGATCCACCAGCTGAACGAGAAATATCAGTACCAGGGATATCAAACTCATCCAGCCCCATGGACTGAATTAAGTATATGGGGCTGAGGTATGGGCCAGATTGGGCCCACAGACTGGCCACACACACCAGATACAGTATGCAGGCAGCACATGCAGCACGTGTCCTGAACTGACCTTACAACATACAGGGCCAGTCCAAGATTCACAGGCAGCACTGCAGGCTGAATGGTAGGGCTCCATGGGCCGGATCTTTGACACCCCAGCTCTGTTCTAATGACACACATTCTGAAGTGAAATGCACTCCAGACTATTGTCCCATGAAGTAAAGACTGGACAGAGAGCTGTTCCCAGGTGCTGGCTGTTCTCCTTTATGACTGATATGGGAGAGTGACATGTCTGATCAGTCATTGAAGGGTGACAAAAGTCATGCCTCTACTAGTGCTATGATGCACCTGGAAGCAGCACTCAGAAATACACTCTACCACCCACTCATGCTCCATAATGCCAAACCCATAAGTGAGGTGGTGAAGCTGCCCTGAGAGTGACCCCTCCTGCCACTTTTGAGATCTTTGTCACCTTCAGGCTGGCTTCAGTGCCTCATTTCCAGGTTTGACCTGTGGGGAGCAGGGGTGGCTGTGTGGGGAAGTGCTTCCCAGCAGTGTTCTCAGAAAGTGTATAGACAAACCCAGTAAGACCAAGATGCCCCAAGGGAGGAGAGGCTGTGTTTGGAGGCAGATGATTGCAGGCTGCTGGGCTCAGATGGGAGCATTTCTTCATCAACATGTACGTTCTCCTCTGCTATTGCCAACAGGATGGGAGTGGCTACATCGATGAGCATGAGCTGGATGCCCTTTTGAAAGACCTGTATGAGAAAAACAAGAAGGTGAGTGAATGAAGGGGAGTGGGGCACATGGAGACGCATGTAAGCTTGATCCTGCTGTTCCAGTATATCTCCCCTTAAGTGCAGAACTGATTCCTGTCATGGCCTCTGAGGCTGTTGTCTCTGGTGAATATGAGTGGAGTGTTGTTGCTTCCCCAGGGAACAGCCCATCAGAGGGGGCATGTTTCGTGCCCACAGCAAGCATGGGACAATCCAAATTCCCCAGCTCTGTAGTCATGGGGCTAAGTGACTGCACCGGAGGGCTTGGCTCCAAGTTTATTGTGCTGGTGCTATAGTTTGTCCTGTCATCTAGGACACAGCCCTTCAGGATACTGAAATAGTGGAAATCTGCAGTGCTAGTGCTGTGCGCTAGGAGTGTTCCAGCACCTGCACAGATGGGTATGGAGGAGTACCCAGTGCTCAGCAGTGTCTGCTCTGAGTTAAATGCAGAGGGATGTGGGGTCAGCAGAGGCCCCGGAGTCACAGTTGCTGTCCCCTTTGTGTAACTGTACAGCAGTGCCAGGTATGTCTGAATCAGCATGAGAGCATTGCCCTTCACTTCCTTCTGGATCTGGCTGCTTGCCATGTCCCTTTGCTGGCTGGGTCCTTGATCCTTCCTGTGCAGGGGCTCCTGTGCAGAGACCCTTACACTCAGGAAATCCTCTCTTGCTGTTCACCTGCTCCTTTCTTAGATGAAAAACCCAGTCCCTAACCCTCTTCTGAGACAGTAGATAGCTGTGGAGTGGTAGCAAAGTATGCTGGGAAGGAAGGCAGCAAAAAGATGACATTTGACCTTTGTATTGCTTTACTTCCCAGCATGCTTTGCTACCATCCCACAGTTCTCATGCTCTGTGGGAGTCCGCTGAACCCTTCTGAGAAGGGCAGCTTACCCCAGGACACTGTTACTGAGACCTCATTGAAATTTGGTCTCATGTTTGAGGGCTATTCTGCATCATAGCTCTGTGTTCCTGTCTGCCAGGAAATGAACATCCAGCAACTCACCAACTACAGAAAGAGCATCATGAGCCTCGCCGACGGGGGGAAGCTGTACCGCAAGGAACTGGAAATTGTGCTCTGCAATGAGCCTCCCATGTAGAGAGGCACTGCCCCCCTCTCCTCCAAAATCTCCCCCACCCTGCCACTCCCATGAAGACGGATAAGAGAGAGCAAGCGCAAGTGGACGAGGAGGGAGCAAATGCCAGTGTGCAACTGATGGGCCTCCAACCAACAATCTCCAAACCCCCAAGGCTAGACTTGCTGATCTGCTTGCCACCCGGGTTGCAGAATCTCACTGGCGGTGGGGGCAGGGGCAGCAATGCATGACCTCATCTACCAGTGGCTCTGATTTAGACTAAGTGTTCAATAGGGCGATAGTCCATTTTTCTTCCTGGGCTCGACCCATTTCTCTCTTTAGTTGGTGTAGTTGGTTTCCTGTAAATCCTGCCTCTGGAGTGAATGATTTTTCTTTTTTGTTCTTTTTCATTCATTCTTTTCAAGTTCTGTCTTATTATTTACCAAAGAACAGTTTACAAATAAACTTAAGTACTGCTACCGGAACCCACGGGCTGCATTTGGTATCTCATTTCTTCTGGAAGGTGAGGGCCACGTTTGCAAGAACCTAAGTGCTAGGTTTCTAAAAGAGCTGAGAGATGAAAGTTGGCTCAGCTGAGTCGACTCCTCTTCTTGCTGTGCCTCTGCCTGCTGAGGAGGAGGAAAGTGCAGCAGGATCCACAGATGCACCCGCACCCCAGAAGCGAGCGGATAGTGTGGTCTAGGATCATTTTGAGCTGGCAGATGATCCCGCGTACGGTATCTGTCTGCACTACCAAGCCAAAAACCAGCCAGGGCAAGGAAACAAAACATATGAGCACCACAGGGATGCTGATGCATCTCCGCAGGCACCACCTCCTTGCCCTTGCTCCTCAGCCTGGCACCAGTGGGAGCATACCCAAAGGGAAGTCCCCCACTCGCTCCAAAGCCCCTGTCCCCACAAAGCAGAGGCAGGCCATGCTGGAACAGTGAGGGAAAGGCAGACAGAAAGTGGGGTGTGTTCCAAAGGCAAGCGAGCTCACCCAGAGCATTGGGGAGATGCTTGCTGTCAATGGCCAGCCCTTCTCCTTTGTTGAGCGGTCAGGGTTCAGGCACTTGCGGTTCCATCATACCAAGTGCCCGCACGCACCACCTTCAGTAGGACAGTGGTGCCATCCCTGTATGAGGCATGAACGGAGTACTTGAGGGAGGAGCTGCCCAAGGCAAGTCCACAGGTGGCCTTACACTTCACCTCGGACAACTGGAGCAGCCGGGGTGGAGATCATGCCCACCTCTCCCTCACGGGGCACTAGTGTGACAAAGAAGGTGGCAGGCTACTTCCACCGAAGCATCAAGGGGGACAACATGCTGTGGGATAAACAAAAAGAGCTGAACATCCCACAGCACAATATCATGCAGGATGTGGAGACTCAGTGGAACTCCATATACCTGATGCTCGAGAGGCTGATGGAGCAACAGAAGGCCATCCATGAGATGGCCTTGCTTCGGGAGATCAGGATCAGCGGCCCCCTGAACAGAGCTGAGTGGGATACCATCTCCCAGATCTTGGCGGTCCTCAAGCCCTTCCTCGAGGCCACCAAGAGCCTCAGTGCTGCTGATGCCCTCCTTAGCCAGGTGATCTTTATAGTGAAGGAACTTCAGAGCCAAATGGAGAGCTTCCAGGAGATCATTGTTCCTGGCTGGGGTAGGCCGCTATCACCAGACATGCAGGCACTGGTGAGGCAGCTGAAGGAGGGCATCAAGAAACAGTTTGATCCCTTGCAGTCCAATACAGTCCATGTGCTGGCCGCCATGTGTGACCCAAGGCACTGTATGTGGCAGCCAAATACTGAATCAGCGGACGGAGTTGCTGGTAAAGAAAGTCAGGGAGGCAGAATGGTGGAGGCAGGGGGATATGGAACAGGGAGATGCACTGTCTCATGCTAGCATGCCATCCATGAGCCAGTCTTGTCCTCCACCACAGGTGCTGCCAATATGGGCTAGGGGCATGGCTTCTATGGTGAGGACCAGAGGCACCAGGCCCCAGCATCAGTCAGGTAGCGCTCACGCCTTGGTGGCTGCCTATCTTGCTGAGGATGTAGAGGAGCTGCTGTGCAACCCCCTTGGCTTACTGGGCAAGTTGCAGCCTGGTGTGGCCTGATCTGGCCACAGTTGCCTGGGAACATCTGTCCTCTCCACCAACCCGTGTTCTGAGCGAGACGGTGTTCAGCATCGCTAGGGATGTAGTAACACCCCACTACACCTGCTTGGATCCTGCTTTGGTGGAGCAGCTGGTGTTCCTGAAGGTGAAACTCCTGCTGCTGGGGTTCCCCAAGCTCCAGGTGCAGATGGACTGAGTGCCACCCTCCTCACTCTGTCCACACCTATTTCCTTCTTTGATTTTTTTTTTAAAAGCTAGGTAATGCCCCGCTCTCAGCTGGAGGGGGCACTAACTGCATCACCAGCCAGCAGGGGAAGAACATGTCCCTGCTGAGCTCATTCACCTGCCAGGACAAGTTTGGAGGTATGGGATGGGGCTATGGGTAAGGAGGCCCCAGGTCCTGGGCATGACCACTAAAACTGCACCCTGCCAGGGTAGGGAGGCCTGGTGTGACTGCTGGTTCCACGGCAGCCCCATAAATGCCAGGACCAATGATCCCCTGGTGAAAGGTGGGTTGGAGGTGCCATAAGCTCCAGCTAATGCACGCATGCACACAGTCCTGGCTGGGGAATGCCCAGACATGTCACATCTTTGACAGGCCTGACGCTTGCTGGTTGCAGTTCAGTTGTGAAGCTCCTAGTGTGCTCGGCTTAACTGCCCGGGATGCCAGCTTTCAGGTTGAAAAACCCTTTGTCAGGCTGAGGAAGCACCTGCAGTTGGTGTGTCTCCTGGTCCTGGATGGAAGGAATAGTAAAGAAGCCAGAGGCTGGCCTGGCCCGCAATGCAGGCAAGAAAGCCAGTCAGTGAAAATGGAAATGGAGATGTCAGAGGCTGAGGGACAGCCTGGGGGAGGGAAAGGGGGATGTAGCAGCACAGGTAAAAGTGCGGAGGTACCTGGGACAGTGGGGAGTCAGATGTCTGGCAGGCTGCAGTGTGTCAGAATTCCACTGTGTAATCTACATTGAGTCCATGAGTTTCTGTACCTAGGAGACTGATAAAGTGAAGTTCATAGGCCTAGCTGTGAAAAGTGGCTTGTAATTTGTTTCCTCTCAGGATCAGGCTTGAGAGACTGGAAGCAGAGTGTTTTTTTGGTGAGGAATGTGCCCCCACAGGTAGGTGGGTATTGTTGTGTTTGATAGATTCTGGTGTGCAGTTTGGGGGGGTACTGGAGATAGCTGGCAGGTTTTGTGTTTTGAGCTGTAGGAAGTTGGCTTCAGTTCTGGTGATGAGGTTAGGCGCTTGTTTGAATGTACAAACCACTTTTCAGAGCTGGGACTATGAGCTGCACTTCATCAGCCTCCTAGGTAGTAGGTACAGAAACTCATGGACTCAGTATACACAGTGGAGTTCTGGCACACTGCGACCTGCCGGACATCTGACACCCCAGGCACCTCTGCACTTTTAGCTGCTCTGCTACATCCCCCTTTCCCTCACCCCCTGACACCTCCATTTCCATTTTCACTGACTGGCTTTCTTGCCTGCATTGCGGGCCAGGCCAGCCTCTGGCTTCTTTACTATTCCTTCCATCCAGGACCAGGAGACACACCAACTGCAGGTGCTTCCCATAATAAACATACAAACATAAAATCACAGGATAAGCCATCACACACACCACAAGTAACATGTATCCAACACAACTTTACTTCTTGCTGTCAATTCCTTTATAACAAGAAAGGCTCTGTGACAGTTCCGTTTGGGTACCTTAGATGCTGCTGGTGCTGCTGGTGCTATTGCTGTTGAGCCAGCTACATTATTTTCACCTCCCGTCATTTACAGTGGTGGACTGAACTGAGGCTGTAGGGGAGGAGGAGACCTCACTGGGGCGAAATTGCGTCTCGTGAAGAGGCTCCAGTGCCAGGAAGGGCACACCTGAACACACACACACTGTCACCCACCCATGTCACGAGTTTTGCCTGCCTGCAGCCAGAGGTGCAGGGCCCCAGAACCCAGAGTCCCGCTGCACCTATCTCGTTGAGACCTGGCAGGCTTCATGGCCACAGCAGGGCCTAGCAGCCAGGCCTGCAGTGGTGTCCCCTGCCCCACGACAGACACAGTTGCACAAGCACCCATGTCACAAGTTTTGCTTGTCTGCAGCTTGAGGTGCAGAGCCCCAGAACCCAGAGTCCTGCTGCACCTATCTTGTTGAGACCTGGCAGGCTTTGTGGCCTCAGCAGGGGTACCAGGCCTACAGTTTTGACTTCTCTGTAGCTTCACACATACAAGTGACAGGAGTTTTGCTCTCAAGACTTTGGGGTGCAGTTTCTCTGAACCCCCTGCACCTATGTCCTTGAAACTTGGCAGGCATTATGCCCTCAGAAGGGGCTACCATGCCTGCAGGTTTCATCAGAATCAGGCGAGAAATTACGAAGTTATAGCCTGTTTCGACCTCCCCCATTATCTCCTACGGGCGAAATGTCAAAATAGGCTTGAAACACAAAAATGTTTTGACAGAACGATATGGAACAGCCATTTCAACTTGAAACAAATGTCGAAACAAAACGCTGTTCCGTCGAAATGCTGGTCGAAATGGAAAGCTTCCATTTCACACAGCCCTAGTAGGTGTTTGTTCATAGTAGTCAGGCCAATACCTGATACCTGCCATATAGTAGCAATGTGCTATAATAGTGACTACTGCATGCAGCTACCCTTGGAGAGCTGCTTACCTGTCTATTCCGGAGCCCATTACAACTTACACTGCTGTACAAAATGAAAGTAAATTACAGTGATATAAACATGTATGTGTGTGTGTGTCTAGGCTCTCTGACCTCATTCCCTTGAAAAAATCAGATTTCCAAAACCTATGAGGTGGCTGCGCATGCAGTGCAGACGTGATCAGCAAAGCCCTGGATCATGGATCTCATCACTAGGTACTACTGCTTGATTTAAGGATCTCCCTGGCCACTACAGGTGCACCATCTCCCAAATGTACTTGCCCACAGGCTGGGATCATGGAGCTTTACAGTGGGAAACAAGTCCCAACAAACTTCACAGTGGGAAACAAGTGAATGTGGGTCAGGATGAGGGGGTTGTAGGTCGGGGCAAGCTGATAATTATGCTAATGGATCTCAGTGTGAAAAAGGTTGAGAACCACTGATCTAATCCAACCCACTGCCAAACTGTCCCATACAAGCCATAATCTAAATTCTACATAAGACTACCATCAACCCTGACCATAGACTACCATCAACTCCACAACATAGACTTAACACCCTAACCTGCCACAGGAGAAACAGGGGAATGATGGCAGCCAGTGTCCTGCTTCTATGAAATGTTGTCAATATACACTCAAGAAGTCCTGGGTAGAGGGCCACACCATCACCCTCCTCCCCACACCCCTGAGGAAGGCAAAAGTTCCCACACAG